TACTTCTAACCCTTTCAAAAGGGATCTTCGTTGGATCTTGTGCTCCTGAGAATCGATTGATGGGCATATTTTTACTTCTAACCCTTTCAAAATGGATCTTCGTTGGATCTTGTGCTCCTGAGAATCGATTGATGGGCATATTTTTACTTCTAACCCTTTCAAAAGGGATCTTCGTTGGATCTTGTGCTCCTGAGAATCGATTGATGGGCATATTTTTACTTCTAACCCTTTCAAAAGGGATCTTCGTTGGATCTTGTGCTCCTGAGAATCGATTGATGGGCATATTTTTACTTCTAACCCTTTCAAAAGGGATCTTCGTTGGATCTTGTGCTCCTGAGAATCGATTGATGGGCATATTTTTACTTCTAACCCTTTCAAAAGGGATCTTCGTTGGATCTTGTGCTCCTGAGAATCGATTGATGGGCATATTTTTACTTCTAACCCTTTCAAAAGGGATCTTCGTTGGATCTTGTGCTCCTGAGAATCGATTGATGGGCATATTTTTACTTCTAACCCTTTCAAAAGGGATCTTCGTTGGATCTTGTGCTCCTGAGAATCGATTGATGGGCATATTTTTACTTCTAACCCTTTCAATAGGGATCTTCGTTGGATCTTGTGCTCCTGAGAATCGATTGATGGGCATATTTTTACTTCTAACCCTTTCAAAAGGGATCTTCGTTGGATCTTGTGCTCCTGAGAATCGATTGATGGGCATATTTTTACTTCTAACCCTTTCAAAAGGGATCTTCGTTGGATCTTGTGCTCCTGAGAATCGATTGATGGGCATATTTTTACTTCTAACCCTTTCAAAAGGGATCTTCGTTGGATCTTGTGCTCCTGAGAATCGATTGATGAAAAATATGCCCATCAATCGATTCTCAGGAGCACAAGATCCAACGAAGATCCCTTTTGAAAGGGTTAGAAGTAAAAATATGCCCATCAATCGATTCTCAGGAGCACAAGATCCAACGAAGATCCCTTTTGAAAGGGTTAGAAGTAAAAATATGCCCATCAATCGATTCTCAGGAGCACAAGATCCAACGAAGATCCCTATTGAAAGGGTTAGAAGTAAAAATATGCCCATCAATCGATTCTCAGGAGCACAAGATCCAACGAAGATCCCTTTTGAAAGGGTTAGAAGTAAAAATATGCCCATCAATCGATTCTCAGGAGCACAAGATCCAACGAAGATCCCTTTTGAAAGGGTTAGAAGTAAAAATATGCCCATCAATCGATTCTCAGGAGCACAAGATCCAACGAAGATCCCTTTTGAAAGGGTTAGAAGTAAAAATATGCCCATCAATCGATTCTCAGGAGCACAAGATCCAACGAAGATCCCTTTTGAAAGGGTTAGAAGTAAAAATATGCCCATCAATCGATTCTCAGGAGCACAAGATCCAACGAAGATCCCTTTTGAAAGGGTTAGAAGTAAAAATATGCCCATCAATCGATTCTCAGGAGCACAAGATCCAACGAAGATCCCTTTTGAAAGGGTTAGAAGTAAAAATATGCCCATCAATCGATTCTCAGGAGCACAAGATCCAACGAAGATCCCTATTGAAAGGGTTAGAAGTAAAAATATGCCCATCAATCGATTCTCAGGAGCACAAGATCCAACGAAGATCCCTTTTGAAAGGGTTAGAAGTAAAAATATGCCCATCAATCGATTCTCAGGAGCACAAGATCCAACGAAGATCCCTTTTGAAAGGGTTAGAAGTAAAAATATGCCCATCAATCGATTCTCAGGAGCACAAGATCCAACGAAGATCCATTTTGAAAGGGTTAGAAGTAAAAATATGCCCATCAATCGATTCTCAGGAGCACAAGATCCAACGAAGATCCCTTTTGAAAGGGTTAGAAGTAAAAATATGCCCATCAATCGATTCTCAGGAGCACAAGATCCAACGAAGATCCCTTTTGAAAGGGTTAGAAGTAAAAATATGCCCATCAATCGATTCTCAGGAGCACAAGATCCAACGAAGATCCCTTTTGAAAGGGTTAGAAGTAAAAATATGCCCATCAATCGATTCTCAGGAGCACAAGATCCAACGAAGATCCCTTTTGAAAGGGTTAGAAGTAAAAATATGCCCATCAATCGATTCTCAGGAGCACAAGATCCAACGAAGATCCCTTTTGAAAGGGTTAGAAGTAAAAATATGCCCATCAATCGATTCTCAGGAGCACAAGATCCAACGAAGACTTAATCTAAATACTCAAAAATTGAAGCATTTTCTCTAGCAATTCAGCAACTGCAGCAGCAATCCAACAACTCCCCCGCAACTGTTCCCACAACTGCCCCCACAGGTCCTCCAGCTAAAAGTCCTGCGGCTGCTCCTGTCACAAATCCAGCTCCAATACCTTTAGTGAACTTAAATAAAAATTAAAAGTTCGGAATTTAGAAAATTTGGCGAAGGGCTAAATAAGGGCTAAAAGGCTTGATGGGCTAAGGACTGAAAAATATAAGGAGAAATTTTTGACAATTTTTCGATAAAATTTTTATTAATTTAAACTTTTTCAGCGTTATTTCCATTAGTTTTTTTAGCCATATTTATCAAATGTATAATAAATTTGTTGTTTTTAGAAAAATAAATATATAAATGTTATTGATATCTAAATTAACAAAAAATTTTTAAAAAGAATTTTTGTATCTAAGGAGCAGTGCTTGGACAGCCGTACCAATATTCCTACTAGTACATACTTTGGTACGAAATACGAGTATGAGGCCAAAATTAGGGGTGGTACGAAGTACGAGTACGAGCAGTTCTGAAACTTCCAAGCACTGCTAAGGAGTATTTATGTATGTATTTAAAAATTTAAGGGAAGAAAAAAATTAGGGATTGGTTGTTAAATTTTAAGAAAATTAAAACGAAAAATGAATGAATATTAAGAAACGATTTCTATTTTATATTTGCATGTATGACCTTAAAAATGAGGGGATGAATTTAATTATTTGCTTAGTTTAATAAGAAATGACTTTTTAATTCAATCAAAATATTAAAAAAATTGTAGGAGGCAAGAAAGATTAATGCCTGTTTTGGCAAATATTTGAATAAATAATGTTTATAGGAGTAAATAAAATATATATAATAATCCTATTATTAAATACGTGAATTTATTTTTTGGGCAAAACCAAAAAAAAATGATAGTTTTATTTAAAAAATTTCTCTTTTCATTCAAAAATATACAACTTTTTACTTGATAAAGATATTTTCAATTTTTATCAAAGAGATCTTCGACCAGAATCGGTGGATTCTAAGCAAAATTATAAATTGAATTCGCGCTGCTAAACTTGTATCGTTGTTCTTAGATTAGTTAAATTTAAAAGATGCATTGGATAATTATCGAAAAAATTTGGCCCTATCAAAAATCATCATGTTTTCCTTCCTTAAACTAGTCAGTTTTCCTTAAAAGTTGATATTTGTTAATGAAAATAGCTTAAACAATTCTTTATAATTTTTATTCCAAAAATTTTTAAATTTTTAATAGATTAGCCACATCAATATCGCAAATTGACGTAAAATTGTATTCCTTTATTGTAGGCTTTTCCCACCCACCAAAAGGATAACCATATTCATTATAATCTTCAAAATTGTCTTTTTGATCGACATTATAATACAAAAGTGGAGTATTGTTATATTTTCTAGTATTTCCTGTAATTTCGTGCCAATTATATTTATTTGTGAAAAATCCAAATGTCTGGTTTCTTTCTTTTAAGGTGTTCACCATTTCCTTAAATTTATTTAAAAAATTATTTTAACAAATTTTCTGCACTTAATGTCATTTTTGACATAACACCAAACTAATAAAAATTTTGGTGAGATAATAAAAAATAAAGGAGGCCCATTGGATAATACTTTTAGACACCAAACATAAGAACCAGGGATCGCGCCGACCCGATTCACGATTCCCGAAAATCGTGAATTCCCGACGATTTTTGGCTCGTGAATTCACGATTCACGAAAAAAATCTCAAAATTTTTGCCTACGGCGCAGAAAATTGAAGAAATCTGGCTTCTGGTCTTCAAAAATTCTTCAAATTTTCGTCTGCGGCGCTGAAAATGGAAGAAATCTGACTGCTTGAGCTCTAAATTTAAAATTTTTGCATGCGGCGCTGAAAATGGAATAATTATGAGGAGATCGAAACATTTAGAGATACCTCCAATCCTCCTTAATCCCACGGTATCATTCAATATTACCTTTAATCTTTTTACATATTTCCTAATCTTAGTATCACATCATGGATCATCATATAATAATAACAACGGTATCACATCATGGATAAGGAGGATAATAAGAGGAAAAAAAGATTTGGGCAGATAAGGAGGGATTGAGTGATAATGACTAAAATTGATTGGGGAATTTTAGTATGTTGGGGGATTTGAAAAAAGAGAAGGAGAGAACCACAGATATCCATCCAAATCCATCCAAACCTCCAAATGCCTTACTATCCCTCAATCCATATTTATTAACTCAAATCCCTTTATTCTTGATACAGTTATAGTATCGCTTAAATATCCATCAGTTAATCAATTAAGAACCTCTAGTACATCTAACCCCTAGTAATCTAACCCCAAAAAAGGCAAAATTCCCGAATTCACGAAAATTCCCGAAAATCGTGAATTCCCGACGATTTTTGGCTCGTGAATTCCCGATTCACGAAAATCGTGAATTCGAAATTCTCGTGAATTCACGATACACGAAATTCGGGAATTCGAAATTTTCGTGAATTCACGATTCCCGAAAATCGGGAATTTGATTTTTTTTCGGCGCGTTCCCTGATAAGAACTACATATTAGACAGCTGTTGCTTGATTAAACAAGCTAAATATTTTTGTATCAAGTATCTAATGCAAGGATGAGCCCCGTAGCTATTTAGATACTTTAGGTAGGGTTGCCGTTTTCGGTTCGAGCCTCGTTCGGTGCATTTTTTCGAGCTTGGTTTTTTTCGATTCGGTTCGTTTTCGAGTTTTTTGAGCTGAGAAGCCTCGGCTCGCTCGATCTTTCGCGTTTCGGGTCGAGCGAGCTGGCAACCCTAACTTTAGGCATTCTCTTATACACACCTACACCCATTGTCAGCATTCTCTTGGCCCCAGGAAATCCCAAAATACGGTCAATTATATTAAAAGATTCGTACATCAATATACTCAATATTCTTAGTTTTGTTATTTTTATTCCATCCTTCATATTGGTTACAGCCAGTTAATCCATAAATATACAACCAAACCCTTCCAACTTTTGCATTATTTTTATTTAAATAATCGAGGACGAAAATAATAGATTCTCTAAAATAAATTAGACATTTAAAGAACATTATTTTTTTAAAAATAGTTTGGCGGATCAGAATTTCAGGCTCAGAAAAAGACAGCATATTTTAAATTTTCGGTTCAGATCCTACCAATGCCAAGCATTTCAGAGGACATTCATGTACCTTTTTTCTATTAAAAAAAGAATTCTTGCTTCTTTGTCTCTCTAACATTTAAAAATTTTTGCCATACAACGGCTCCTCCGAAAATAATTTCCGTTACCTCCATCACAAGCTATTTTAATAAAAAATTCGGTTAGGATATTGGATCCTAGGATCTGATAGATCTTATTTGGACTTAAAAGAATTTGGGATACTTGTTTTTTCATTACTTCTCTGTAAGGAAAAAGGCAATTTTTATGGACGGAAAGAAGCTCAAATCTGGAGACGTAACCTTTTTCAAAAATCTGAATCAAAAATCCCTCAAGTTTTTATAAATATAGACTTAACCTAGCATCTCCACATATTAATTCGGAAGCAGAAGAAGGCTTAATACAAGGAGAAAAATAAATATCTACATTTTCAATCCCTGCCGTTCTAGCATTTATTATATTTAATTCTGCATTGGTATCAACTTTTCCTGTGTCATAATAATTAGCTCGAACAATAACAAATTCTTTTGAGAATTTTTCTTTTAAACATTTGAATGATGAAACTGAGTATATTTTAATTCTGATTAATGAAAATAATTTCTACCTGTACCAAGTTTCCCATATAAAAACACCTTCACTTGTCTTGACATTTTTAAAAATTGCTAAAAATAAAATGGATGCGAATAAAAGGATATAATAAATATTGCCCATACTGATCTTTATTTTATAAAAAAATAGAAAAGTTTTTTGCTTTTGTTATCGCTTAATTTATATATTATTATGTTTTTATTTTTGACAAAACAGGTAGCGTACTAAAACCGCAATGTAAAGATTAATGTGTATTTTGTGGAATTAATTAGTGAAATCCATCATTATTTTAATTAGATAATTCTTATACAAAGGTTAATGTGATTAGAGTAGTAGGTTCTAAGAATTCTTAGGTAGGTTCTAGAAGAACCCTAGTGATATCCGGGTCTTCCGGACCGACATTCAAGCTATACAGCAGGGGTGTGCCGAAAGTCATTTTAAAAAGCGAATGGCGAAAGGCGAAAGACGAAAGTCCAAAAAAGGCGAAAATCGGCGAAAGGCGAAAGACGAAAGGCGAAACTCGCACACCCCTGCTATACAGGCTCATAAATCAACAATTTTTACAAAAGAGCAGTTGCGCACTTTTTCAACCGAAAATAGAGGGATCAAAAGGTGGATATGAAGGAATAGAAGATCGGTGGATTTACAAGGATTAAGACGGATTTGGAGAGATGATTTGAAGGAATATCTTGAATATCATGTCATTTAGCAGGAATATTAATTATAGGAATATTTAAGCAGTAGGGCGGGGTCTTGATCCCGCTCAACTCTAGTCCGAGCTAGGAAAATGTAGGAAAATATAATTATTAATTAAAAACGCACTTTCTTAATGTCGTCTAAGAATTTCCTGCCAAGAAATAAAACTCGTAGTCTAGTTAGATGACTGATACCCGGACATTTTAACTTGATCCGAAAATTAAAAAATCCTACTCGATTTTATCATTTTACATATATCTACATATAAAAATTTTTCTTTATAATTTTGTTTCAGAATATACCGTATTTTTTGTATTAGAGCCCCATGGGGCTCTATTTTTCAACTATCCTTGAAAGTGGGGCTTTATTACAGCGTGGGGCTCTAATAGAGCGTGGGGCTTTATTTTTCAACCAATTTTTGAAAATACGTAATACAATTTTCAATTATACGTTTAACTATATTTTTCAAATCAATTGAAATTTAATCACAAAAGCAAATTTCAACATTGAGATATCTCCAAAGTGGATAGTTCGCGTATACACTAAGTCGCGATTAAGTGCATTTGAGTTGGATTTAAAGCCAAATTGGAATTTTAATTTGTGGAAGGTTCAAATCCTACGAGTAGGGTTGCGTTTCGATTCGAGCCGACGTTCGGTGCATTTTTCGAGCTTGTTTTTTTCCGATTCGGTTCGTTTTCGAGTTTGGATTTTTTCGAACGAGTTTTTCGCTCTTAACTTTTTTCGAGCAGGGGTCGAGCTGGCAATTTTACCTACGAGACTTTGAAGGTTTCTATTTTGCTTTAGTCCGCACGGTACTCCTTTGTGTGTATTTCTCGGTTCAGTCCCAATTGAAGAATATAGATGTGATTAAAAAGGTATTTGGGGATTAATATGGATATCAAGTGATTTGAAGAGTATTAATGATTTGGGGATTAATCAGATATCGAAGGATTTCTGAGGTGGATCAGCTGATAACTAAGCTGGTCTCGCCAAATCTATGCTTATCAGTATGCATATAAAGGAATCTCATGATTTCTCCTATAACGTCCAAATCCCTTTATTGGATAGGATTTGGAGCAGCTTAAGGTGTTATTAATCCCCAAATATCCTCTTAATCACATATAATTCTAACATTGGCACAGAAAATTAAATAAAAGAAAAAAACAGTATAGTATTAAAAATTAACAATTTATTATACAATAGGTAAATTTTAAAAGGTGGGGCTCTATTTCAGCGTGGGGCTCTAATACAGCGTGGGGCTCTATTTTTCAACTATCCTTGAAAGTGGGGCTTTATTACAGCGTGGGGCTCTAATACAACGTGGGGCTCTAATACAAAAAATACGGTATTCTAATAACTTTTATATCACAAATTTCTTTACTTTCATATCCCTTCATTGTAGGCTTTTCCCAACCTCCAAAAGGATAACCATATTCATTATAATCGTCAAAATTATTTTTACCATCCATATGTGAATACAAAAGTGGAGTATCGTTATATTTTCTAGTATTTCCCGTAATTTCATGCCAATGATATTTATATGTTACAAATCCAAAATCTTGTTTTCTTTTTCTCAAAGTGTTGACCATATCCTTTAAATTATAAAAAATCGCATATTTTTTACTAAAGTAAATTAATTTGTCTCAATAAACTCGATATTTGAAGTCTTATTTTTATCCCATCCATAGAGGTTTTGACATGCAAACGGACTTAAAACTACATACAACCAAACTATTCCAAATTTTACTTTAATATTATTTAAATAATCGAGCACGGATGTAATTAATGCACTTAAATAATAAAAAAATATTAGAAGGCGGAAGGGCCAAAAAAGCGGAATTCAGCGGAAGAAAATTCATCCCTGATACTTTCGATCCCTGGTACTTCCTATCTATCGTTAATAGGTCAATTATTTAATTAATTAATTAATGTCTCTAATTTGAATATGCCAGTCTGCTTTAAATAAACAAAGAAAAAAATTAGATGTGCGAATAATTTTGGAACACAGTTTAAGGTTGCGGATAGTTGGAAATCTTTAAATATCCGAATTCGGTATCCGAACCGAAAATTTCCGGATATCCAGTCTTTTTTGCCTAACCTTAACGCAGTTTAGTAGTCACATTTTTTGTCACCTAATTGATGGAAAACTAAAATTATTTTTGTAAAAACATGACCTTCCATCTCCACATAGTTTGTACTCAGTAGAAGGCTTAACACAAGGAGTAATATAAATATCTACATTTTCAATCCCTGCTACTCTAGCATTTATTAAATTTATTTCTGTATTTATATCAACATTTCCTGAATCGTAATAATTTGCACTAACAATAACAAATTCGTTTGAATATTTTTCTTTTAAACATTTAAATTGCGAAATTCTAAATGTTTTTTAATTAAAAGGAATAGAAAAATAATTTCCACCTATACCAAGTTTCCCACATAAAAACTCCTTCACTTGCCTTGACATTTTTAAAAATTGTTAAAAATAAAATGGATGCGAATAAAAGGATAAAATAAATATTCCTCATTCTGGGCTCTATTTCAATTGTCCACAGATTCTGTGGATAGAATTCTGTGCACAGACCACAGAAATTATGTGTAAATTATTCCATATATTCTGCAGAAAAAGGAGCCCGCAGATTCCGGGGAAACATCCACAGAATCTGTGTACACTTAATTTAATTGAAACAGAATTTCCCCAGATTCTGTGTTCTGTGCACAGAATGCAGAATCTGTGGACAATTGAAATAGGCCCCTGGGGTTTATTTTAGTTTATAAAATTAAATAAATAAAATAGTTTTTTTTACTTTTTTACTTTACTTTTACAAATATATATTTATTATTATTTGTTTATTTTTAATAAAATGCTTTTCCTTAAACAGGTAGCGCACCAAAACTGCAATAATAAGATTAATGTATATTTTGTGGAATGTTAAAATTTAAAAATAAAAATCCATCATTATTATGTAGTATGTTTAATTAATTACTGATTAAACAAACCAGGAAACTTTATTACTAAAACCCTTTGATTAGGGTAATCGGTTCTTAGAATTTTTAAACTTGCAATTAAAAATACTAGTATATTTTAATAAGAATCAGCCCTCTACTAATAATTCTTTATCATTTTCCTCAAAAAATAATTTTAATTTTGCAATACATTAGCGACATAAATTTCACAAAATGTCGTATAATTAGCATATCTCTTCATTGTAGGCTTTTCCCAACCACCAAATGGATAACCATATTCATTATAATCGTCAAAATTATTTTTACCATCCAAATGGAAGTAAATAAGAGGAGTATCGTTATATTTTCTAGTATTCCCTGTAATTTCGTGCCAATTATATTTATCTGTATAAAATCCAAATGGTCGGTTTCTTTCTTTTAAGGTGTTGACCATTTTCTTAAATTTTAATAAAAAATTGTTATTTCAGTACATATTCAAGGGAATGAAACTTTCCAGACAATATGTCCGGTAAAGGTCAATTTAGTTTTTAGTGTATTCGAACCCAGGAGAGTCGACTACTTTTAATGGATTTTGTCGAACACTAGTTCCAACTTATCTTAGTTTGAAAACTCCAAAAATAGGTTTAAGTAGGTGACAATAAATCGTAAATATAAGCTAAAAAAATAACAGTGGATTTTCGCTTCGCTCAACATAACTATGTGTTTCAAGAAAAGTAAGTTTAT